CCTGCCTGTGCCCATACGTAAGCCCTGCTTGAACCCGCCTCTGCTGGCTGTTTGGCCGGTTACCCGGTTTGTCACCCGTTTAACGCGCTGCCTGTGGACCTAGCGCCATGCTTTTCCTTTTTTTTCCCCCCAGCGTCTGAACACCGTGAAACAACACGTGAAATTCCTTCCAGCCACGGAACGGCGTCTGGCAGCCAAACGGCCGCTGGCAGCAAGGAGAGGAATCGCGCTGGCCCGCCGAGGCCTTCAGCAAAGCCCTGCTTGCTAACGTGAGCTGTGTTTGCACCCTGTCCCACTGGTTGCCGCCTCTCCTTCCCACCCCTGTGCCGGGGAGCGCAGCCCTTTCCGATGCCGAGTGTTGTGTTAGGGCTCTCCCAGTCCCACAGATCCTGGCTGCTGCTCCAGCCGGCCCCGAAAGGACCCCTGGGTATGAGTTATCCAGGCTAAAGGATTTATAAAATAACTTCTTTAGCAGCTGTTCTCTCACATCCTCCTTCATTCCTAACGGCCTGGAAAGCATTTTCCTTATTCTTCATCCAGCTCTAGCTCAGCAACCGCTATCCGCTTCTTCACTCTCCTTACTAACAGGTTTGGCATCTCCGTACGTTCCCTGCCTTTGGTTCCCAACAGCCCAGAAAGTCCTTTGCTATTGCCCAGAGCCTTATCGGACCTCGATAATCCTCTGCTGTCTTTGGCATCCTTCTTGGCTTCCCATACCTTGCTGCTATCAGGCGCTGTCTGGTCCCTCCATGACACATCACTTGTCTATTTTCCCGTCCCCGCTGCAGCCTTGGGGCAGGAGGATCTTCAGCTGGAGCCAATTTCCTGTGTTTTCTTGACCACTTCGTAAACCCTGCTCAAAGCCATCCCTGTCCCCGCATACATTCCTCTGTCTAGGTCTTCTGTCCCCAGGGCAGCTGGCTGCTCTGCCGCTGCCAAGATAAGGAGTATCCTGCAGAACTGTGCACCCACCAGTGGGTGATCCTGCCCATCACCCCTTCTCTGCGCTCCTGTCCTCCTGGCCAGCAGCTCCCGGTTCCTGGCCCTGCGGCCCCCCAGCACGCAGCCCATGGGCACAGCTGACACAAGACAGGAGGGTTGGCACCTGGCCACAGCAAAGTCAGATGCCAGGCGGCAAATCCCAGCCTCTCTGGCGCGGCACGGCGCGGCGGGGGCTCAGTCCTGGCACGCGAGGCCCTGCTTATCTGCTCTCCCAGCTGCCTGGGCGGTTTTCCCAGAGTGGGAGAAGCCAATGGGAAGGCGGTGGTTTCCTGCCGCGGAGATGGACTATGTGCTGCAGACAGATGAAGGAGGTGATGGTGTGACAGACCCAGCATGCTGTGGCAGTAGGGATGGCGATGCCAGCCCACAAGAGCAGAGCCCCTGCCCCGCTGCATTCCGGCCACCATCACCTCCCCTGTCCCGAGCCGCGTCCCATGGGGACTGCCAGACACAGACGAGTGACGACTGATGTCAGCACACCGCTCTGATGTCACATTGAGCACACGCGACTGGTGAAAGCCTCCAAAAGCCCAGCTGGACTTGTCTGGCTGCTCCTCCAGGCCCCCCAGCTCTGCCTCAGCTCCGAGGTGGCTTTGGGAGCAGCCGAGCTGTGGATCGCCCCAGGAGCCCGAGCGGCCATGGGGACCACAGCGGGAAGGGAAGGTCCAGGCAGGTACCGGGAGGCCAGGGATGCTCCTCCTGGGGAGAGGCCACCACGCTTCACCCTCTCCCGATTCCCTGGGCTCACATGACATCGCGCAGATGGCCGTTTTCGGCGCGGTGTGTCAGCCGGGGTCATTTCCGCCCCGGGTGACTCAGCCGGGGCCGAGGCCGCCTGTTTGCACCCGCGCCATGGCAACCCGCCACCGCAGACGGCCCCGCTGTTTGCGGCCGTTGCCAGAGCTGACGGCCGCATCCCATTGCCTCATGCAGTTTGCATGCGATAACGACAATCTCTGCTCGCTCCAGCGGCAGCACGGCTTCCTGATGTCGCCTCGGCTCAGTCCTGCCGAGGGAAAGGTGTGAGCTCCCCTCCTGGGTAAACAACCCCTTTTCTTCATGCTTTTATCCCCGGCTAGGCGCTCAGGCCATGCATCGGTGCTTCCCACACTCCGCCACCAGCTCGGGGCAGATGGACCTCCTTGCTCCTCTCCTCTCGTCTCCTTTCTCCTCCCCGCAGCAGCGGCGGGGGCTGAGCAGACATCAGAGCAGAGAGGAGCTGCTCTCCCTGCCCGTGTGAGGGAGGCTTTGGGTGGCCGTAGCACTGCACACCCTGAGCAGCTCGGGCAGGCTGCGCCGCTTCCTGTGGCAAACATTTCCAGCCCCTTCCCAATGCCTTCCCGGCAGGCACTGTCTCCCCTCGCTGGGACGCCAGGTTAACCCAAGTGGGAAAAGGCACAGTCTGGCCATGCTTGGGGTCACAGCTCCCACCAGGCACTGAGCAGCCCCAGCATCTGCTGCTGATGATCAGTTGTGGGCTCATGCCTCCATCAGCCGAGCAGCCCTCCCTGGCTGGGGAGAGGATGGTGCCTTCCAGACCAGCCACCCTGGGATCTCTGCTGACGGAGCCCAGCCGCCAGCACGCTCAGAGCAGCCGCACCGGGTCGCAAATGGGCATCTCCTTGCCGGAGGGCAATGAGCTGCCTCCTGGCACCGTCTTTGCTGGTAGGTGCAAGGGGTGCTGATGCCGCTGGGATGGCCAGCACACATTTAGCATGCTGAGTTGCATCACGTAACAGTTTCAGATCGCTGAACAAATGGCTACACAAATACTTCTAATGCCGGTTTTCCTGGATGCAGTGAATTAGTCTGCAACAGGCCTGTGTGGGAGCTATCACACCAAAATTCAAGACCAGCTCCCAACAGCTGGATGGTTAAGATAGCTGTTTAGGCATTGGCGTTTCAGGCCCTCTGATTCAGGGTCTGCACTTTCAGTATGGTAAGTGAATTGGGAAGGACTCGAAGAAAAAGATCTGAGATCTTGCAATTCTCTGTTCTCAGGAGTTTCACCCTTTCGTTTTTACTTAAATAGCCAAGCTGACGTTTTTCTGCACCAAGGGGAACTCCCTGTGCCCTCTTCCCCCCTGGACCTTTAACCCAAGACTCGCCAAAGAAAGACAGAGGCTTTGGTGTGAAGATCTTATACCTTCCCTCTTGGAAACCTTCCCTGTGTCCTTGAGAACAGCACAACAGGCGTGAAGGTAAAAGAGTTCTAGTGCCTAAAGCCAGCTTTTCTTCTCAGACTCCTTGCTGGGCAAAGCCACCCAGGACCTGGCAAACGTCCCCAGGGCTCTTCGGACCCAGCTCCTCTCCAACACTGGATCATCAGCACCGGGAATAGGGTGATGGTGGAACCCTGGTTAGACCTCAGTCTCCAGTACCCTGATTCATGGTCTTCTCGTTATGGCCCTGGCTGTCTCCCTTACCCAGAGACCCTCTGCCTTCAGTATCTTCAGCTGCTCCAGTATTTGCTGGGGATGTTGTTCTCCATCAGGAATGGGGTTTGAACCACTCTTTGCCACCTCTGCAAAGCTGTTTCCGCTGGTGGGATGGGGCTTCCCCAATCCGCTGCTTTGCAGAGCTGGGCCAGGAAGTCGCAGCCTGCTGCATGATCTTGCAGAGCTCCTGCTGCCCACCACCAGCTGCACCTATCTCTCTTACCATTGCCCAGATAAGAGGGCAGATTTCTGAGGTGTTAAGAGATGGACAGACACTTTCTCGACTCAAAAGATATCAAAGCTCTAAAAGCTTAACATAAATCAGCCTTAAAAACACCCTAAGTGGTGGTGAGCTGGGTGCCACACCGTTACAGACCAGCTTTGTCACCATGAGCCCCGTGCAGCAAAGAGCAGGAAAACCCCTGCCACTGCAGCCCCCCTGCCACGCTCCCCTGGCCCTGCCTGTGCCCTGCCTGTCCCTGAAAGGGGCACAGCTTTATGTGCAGAAACACACCGGCAGGGAAACCAACCGCTTGCCACCCCACGGCAGGGGCCTGGGCCCACCCGTGCCGCAATGTCTCCCGTGTCCCCAAGGGGCTGGAGATGCAAAATCACCATGCCGGAGGTGTCGCATCTGTGTCCCCATCAGAGCTGGCTGGGCAGGGTCGGTGGCCCCGCCGGCGACTCAGTGAGGCAGCGTTGAACCAGAACCCCAGGCTCCCCGGCACGTGCGATGCAGCCCAGATGTGAGCGGCAGGTGGATCCCACGG